AAGTGCCAATTGTCATGTGTATATCAGAAATGGATAATTTTCCTATAAAGAAAATTTAATAAATTGAAATCTATTTGTTGACTGCCATTAACATCGCAAAGACTTTTGGCAGAATAACGGGGAATTCAAGGAATGCAGTGTGACAGAACTGAAGTCAAATTTATACCGACATGAGAAGGAAACAAGTGGAATGTTTTATTGCCACCATAATAATAAAAAGACTCACCTGGAGTTGTTATTCCTAACTGTTTTTGCATTGCCAAATGCTTCAAGAACTGGATTTGACTGCGCTCAGATCAGTCAATGTAGAAGTCTCATAAGAGTCTAAATCAAAGTAATATAAAAAAAAGTACAAGAATGAAAAGTTTGTCAAAACTTAGAAGTCCTAGAATAAGTGGTTTATCGACTCATACTTCAAGAACTTGTTGTTCAACTGTTCTCCCTTCAGTAGCAGCCCTACCACCTAGGTAAGCAAGGTATCTCATAAGCATTTTTGTAGTTTCAGTTTTACCAGCTCCACTTTCCCCGCTGACAAGAATTGAATTGCTTTTTCCTTCATTAACCATTGCCCTGAGTTCAATAAAACCACCAATTAGTTATTTGGTTCACTGATGGAAATGGAGTCTAGCTCGTTTAAAGAGAATAAAAATACCTAAATGCAACATCAGCAACTGCAAATACATGAGGACTTAGTTCTCCAAATGGTGCTCCCTTATATTGTTGCATCATGTGAGCATCATAGATATGAGGCAGTCTTTGGAATGGGTTTATTGCGATTAAAATATTTCCAGTATAAGTCTGACATGGAAATAGATATAATTAGTAAGTAACAACTTTTTAGTTGATAAACTTTGCTGAAATTTATCTTACGAAGCGGATGAGAGGCTTACATATATTTCATTCAATTCATATCTAGCTTTTAAGTTCTGCAGGACCCCAGGCTCGTGCAAATAGGACAGCTTAGTCATGTCATCCACTCCACCAGCTGGAGCTTCCATATCTTTGGGATATATTTTTGATAATTTTGCAACAACCTAAAAATAATGAAACACAAGTGCAGATTATAAACTTTAATCTTCACCCTGACATGCTACTGTAACCTTTTGCAATCTTTTCTAGTTGGCAGTACAACCATGAGACAAAACCAGTGCTTGCCGCATTATTATAGTTGAAAAATACTTATTCCTGTTCTTAATGCAGCACAAGATGTCCACCAGCGACAATTCAATCACAGAAAAAAATGCACGTGCTTGGATATTCCTTTGACATTTCTCAGTGTTTTTCTTTTTCTTTCCTTCTTCCATGATCTAAATGAACCTCAAACACAACTGATTGACAATTTTGAAGACGGTGTTTATTTCTCAGTTACTAACTATAATGATCACAATGAGAGGTTATGCAGTCTTGTCACTGTTACTTTTGTGCATTGATTGTGCCATATAAGCAATCAGAATTAAATGCTTATTAATAGTTTAATCTCACATGTGTCCCTGAATATGGAGTTCCTTTGGATAAATAAAACTGACTGCAAATCCATCAATCGATTACATATAAAAAGGGGGGAAAGCATAAACATAAAATATGAGGAAAAAAAAACAAAGTTATGTTGCAATATACAAACCTTTTTTCCATCAGGAGTTTCAATTTCTGCATCTTTTCCAGTGATTTTTGATACCACTCCATCGATCCAAGATACATCTGGATCTTCAACCCAGACATGAGAACCTACAATAATATTCACTGGTGTCCCCTGCAGATGGCAATATGGAATCACCATTTTGCATAAAATAAACACACAGACCAAAAAACATACATGCATTGTATATATATATACATATAAGCGCATACATGTATTAACTGATTCCATGTAAGTTCTAAATAAATACTTAGATTATCTTGTGTGCACAATCAGCTAAAGATAGTTTTAAAATATTTCCATGAATGCGCGTCTAGGAAGATTATAAAATTCCAAACAAATCAAATATCTTGTATTGATGCAGATTTTCTCCCTGTACTCAGATCCATGATATAAATATCCAACAAAGTATATTAGGACTTTCTCTTTTTTGAAAAAAAAAAAAATCACAAATGGTGACCAACACCCCACATGATAAGTGTCAAATTTTAGCTTCTTTGCTGACTACCTTTTTTTATTTTCGTGGGTGGTTATGTGCAAACATCTTCTGATATGTTGCTCTTACATTTTATGAGTGAACTCTTACCTCACTCACTAAACTTTTCCTAATTCCCAATGATGCCCAATGATTACGGAGGATCAATAAATTAGTCAGTTCCTTTATTTTCAAAGAATTATTTTAAAACAAAAACATTTAAATTGTAGCAGCGGAACCTTGCAATGGGATTTTGGGAAAAGAGTTAAAAGTTATCATCATTCTTTGAAGCGAACATCGGCACAAAAATAAGACTGTTATTTTCAAGGCAACAAAATGTATTCGAATAATGCTTCTATTAACCGTGCATGTTGCTGTATATGGAAAAAAAATGAATGACGGTAAATTAACATTATCAAAATTTGAACGTCTAGCTGTTTGGCGTGATTACAAAATAATAATAATTTGCATCGGTGATAGCCACGTTATAAAAGGTTGCTAAAGCAGCACGCAAATGCAGGGAAACCAAGAAGAATGAAACAGAAAGTGGCGTACCATTATTGAAATCTAAATTGGAAGGTTTTGGAGTATATCATGAAGGTAAGTAATTGAGGATCCGATGAAGGTTTCGGGTCTGCATGAACAGGTGTAGAATCCTTGATCACAAATGACCAGAAGGAGCAAAAAGGTCGAAAAAACAAGAGGCACAGGGAATCAAAAGGATGGGAAGGCCATTGTGCGGTAAGAGAAAAGAATGGAAAAGGAAAGAAAGAAAGACGGAACTGGAGAGGAGTGAAAGTTTTGTGTGAGGAAGTGAATGTGAATGGAGAAGGGGCTTCAGGAAGCGACATTCTTCAGGAGGGCCTGTAAATTCGGGAGCTTCTCTTCCCTTTGCTTTCGCGCCAACTCGTGGCTACTAATCGAGTCTCTGTTTCACTCTGCCTTTTTAACGGAATTCAGCATGTTCTCTTCGGCCTTTATTTTATTTTTTTCAATTTTTCCTCCCATGTTTTCTTTATCAGGTTAAAATGTTCATTTCATTCTCAAACTTTACATTATAAGATTTTAGTTTAACCTCTTAATTTTAAGAAAAATTACTAGTAATCTCGCATTGAAACTAAAAATTGTATTGGAGAATCAAAGTATTAGGATGCAAGCAAATGGATTTAGAGTGCAAGTATATAGTCAGAAATCTCAAGCCTATTTATTTCCTTTTTCTTTTATCGCTCAACACAATTTTGACTCCCAATAAAAGACCTGCTAGCAGTTTTCCCTTAATTCATAAAATATTTTTAAATTTAAAAAAAAATAAAAGCATTTGATAATATTTTTATTAATATTTAAAAATTTAATGCAAAAATTTTTGTTAACGAAACAAATGTTAATTAAATTAAATGATTGAATAAATATTTACAAGAATAAAAAATTAAAATAAAACATTACACAAAGTGAACTAAAACTCGATTATAGCCTTTTTATTTATATGCATGTTTGTGTTTTTTTTCTTTTCTTTCTTTTTTGGGGCCCTAAGGTTGCTGTTCTTTTTACGTGTCTTTAGTTAATTAGTTAACAGGTAATAGTTCTCAAATAATGGCAGCTAAATAGCCAACATTGCTTCTTCTTTTTTATTTTTTGTTTGGAGCAAAAGAATCAGTGCGGCTACTAAATACTACAAATTAAAGCACAGTTTTTTTTTTTAAAAAAAAAAAGCTACAAAGCAAGACGAAGATTGACCCCAACAAGGCCCAATAGATGAAACACGTGTGAGGCATGAAAGGCCGTCGTGTGAGATGGGAAAGAAAACGAGTAACAGTCGGAGACAGGGACAAAAGAGCAGGAATGAATTAATGGCGTTGGCATGAAATGAGAGTGAACAGAAACCCGGAGCTGGATGAAGGATTTCATCTATTGAGCTCGTAGCATTATTGGAGAGGAAAAAGATGCACCCTTCAGAGAGAAGAGATTTAAATTAGTGTAGCTTCCAACTAACAGATTTCCCATATACACACAAAACATACAAGAGGACGGATGAAAATCTTAAAACTGCTGTGGCAAAGTACGAATATACATAATTTAAACAAAGAAAAGAATAATGAAATTAAAATTTCGACAGAGTGACTGATTAGATTTAGAACATTAAGGAGTTCCGAAACGTGAAAGAAAAGAATGAAAGCGACGCGCCATGAATGGTTGAATGATAAAAATGTACACATCCCTTTGAGAATATGCACATGCATATAAAAAGTAGTTGCTACGTACAGTGGTGGTCCAAGCAAGCCTTGGCTCAGTCAATATGTTGATCTGTGCAACCATTGCAGAGTAGCTATAAGTGGCAGAACACAAAAGCAAACATTCAAAACTTGTATAAATGGAATGGAAATGGAGTGGGTGTGACTTTGTTATATTTTATGGATTTTAATCGTGTGTCGTCAAAAGTCTATCAACTAAAAAATTTTTAAAAAAAAAAGTTGTTAATATTTTTATCAAATTTTATTTTTAGTATTTATAATGTTTTTCGGTGTTTTTAATCTCTAAAATTTCAACAAAATTAAATAATATTTATTGCTCAAATCCTTATAATTTTGGTATTTTCAATGATTTTAATTCCTATAATAACTGAAAACACTAAAAACAAGCCACAAAAATTAAAAGTAAAGTCTGATAAAATTATAAAAACAATTTATGTTTTTCCAAAACTTTAACAAAGCTCCCGCAACACACACAGCTATTGCTCGTAAAGTTGTAGCATTTGCCAAGAACGGCCACAAATCGTCCGAAATATACGAAAACATAAACAAGACACTGCAAAAGAACAGATATCGTGTCTTGATAAATGTTAATTTTTAATCATGGTGGAATCATTCTGCTTTTAAAAGCTGGGAAAACATATCGAGGGTTAAAAGTTTTTGGGCTCTGAACCGATTTATCGATATTCCTTTCAAGCCGTAGATTGGCACATTACTTCCAACAGCCACAACAAAAAACATGAAATTACAGTAACGAAAAGCCGTCAACCAGGGATGTTTGGAAAAGGGACTCATTTGAGCAAGTTATAGACACGAACCAGAAGAGGTGCATTAACTAGTGAAGGAAACATGAGAAGCAAGGGCTTGTTTGGTAACATCCGACAGCACATTAGCATGTCCACGCAGATATATATATATATATATATATAAGCCAGCAGGGCCACTGAATATTTCCCCTTGCTCCAACGCGAGAGCCTAATTCTCCTAACAACTAATACGCGCTAAACTAGCTAGTTGGCATCATCGGAAGGTTTGAGGTAGAGGGTTTCACCGCCTTCGCCTCGGCCTTCAGGGCCGGAAGTGCCGATGTCATGCTTGGCGGCGCGAACAAATTCAGGAAATGCAGAAGCCGGTTCAGTTTGCAGCATGTGAAGGCCCGGGGGAGGGGCGCCTGAACTCATGCCAAGCTGGCTCTGCAAGGCTTGTTGCTGTTGAAGAGCTGAGTAGGGCTGTTGAGCATACAAGAGGGAGGATCGTGCCGCCATGAGTTGCTGCTGTGTCATTTGCTGCTGGGCCTGCTGACCCTGCATGTACTGCGTTCCCTGCTGCATCATCCCCCCACCACTAGGGTACTGCACAATCACTCTAACAAGCATTAATTGTGTGTTAAATTTCTTCTTGCTGCTATTCCTATGGAAATATATCTACAAGTTACATGTGTACCTGACTGGCCATGGTAGGTGGTTGAGGTTGAGAATCAGCGATTGCAGCCAGGTACATGAGGTTTCTCTGCAGCCTTGCTTGGTTCCTGTTCAATGATTCATTGTTCAATGGCGCCGCCATCATCATCGCACGCACTCTCTCTCACTCATGACATCAAAAGAATGTTTAACTACTACAAAGCTAGCCACAACCTGGCTCTCACCTACCACTTCCTGTGCACAACTAGATGCAACAACACTGCAAGCTCAAGTTGAGCTAGCAAAATAATAATATTCAAATATGACACCGTCTTGGGGGTAGCATGATCCAAAATTTATAATGAACGGTAATTAACTTCAATGAACGCCGCATGCTATATTATTTTGGAATGATCTAGAGCTTCTCAAAGTAACATCGATACTTTAAATTAACATTGATATTGATATCACAAACTACTTTATCAAGCAACTATAAGCTGATTCGTAAACAAAAGTTCCTGCATAAAACCTGTTGCAATAATCTATGCAAACATAACCAAGGACCTGGCTAGACGCCAATAGAAACTCTCACGACAGACATTAACAATGTGTTGCTGTAAACTTCAATGTCGTGCAGATATCATAAATCATGACTCACGAACGGCCATATTAATTCTTCTTACACATGTATCATAAGATCCTGCAACCTAACGATGAATCCGGTCCTAATGGAGCTGAATGGTTTGAATCTTTATTCAACTTTTATGGACATGCATGTTTGGAATTGGTAGAAAAACAAGACATAAGAAAATTGAAGGACGTTTAATTGGACTAGTTCTTACTCCGCACACTCGCTCAATTTGCCAGAATTTTGGCTTTCGACGATCTTCAAAATTAAGGACTTGTTCTCGTCCAAGTACTGCGTGAGGGGACAATAATAGTTAGAAAGGTTACATCGCAAGCACTTTATATATGGCTATACATTTATATACATAGTACCATTTATGTCACAGGTGTGACGCGAGAACAAACTAGAGTACGGGGAGGCAATACCATCAAAAACAAGCATAAGACGCATGTCAAGCATTTTCATTTTCATCTATGGCACCCAAGTTCAGCAATGGTAATAGAATCACGAAAAAACAAGCCGGGCTTCTGGATAAACTAAACGTCTCTATAACGCAGAAAGGAGTTATGACCTCATCAAATCTAAAAGGAAATCAGGTATCGGACGACAACGAAAGAACGAAGCCATCGATGCCAAGCAAAGGAGAACAAGACTCAGAGTTCAAGCGGTTAACAAAAAAGTACTGGTATGATAATTTTTTTTCTTTCAGAAACAAGAAAACGAGGAGCGAAATAGTGAAATACCAAAAAAGACTAGTCAGAGTAAAGCACAAATTCATTTTCACGGCTTCTGCCCTCCGAATAAAGCAAATAAAATACGAGGGTCAAAGTGGGATGCGACTAGCAGACACAGTGCAAATAGAGGCACAGGAAGAAAAGTGAGATACTCGTAAGGATACGGAAGGGCAAAAGAGGCGTGGATTCGGCAGAGACAGGGATCAAATAGCAGCTGTAAACAGTGCACATGATATAAGCAAAGAGCAGGCAGGTATTTCAAAAAGCAAAGAACTTGCCACTCCTGTAATGACGCAGGAGCAGAAACCGAATCAGGACTCAGAATCATGGCACCCACACACGCACCACAAACACCATCCAGTCAGCAGAAGTAACAAGGAAAAACAGCACAACCAAAGCCGCAGCAGAAAGTGACAAAGAAGAAGCAGAAAAAGAGAGGGGAAGGGTATGGCCAGAAACAATAAATCAGCGGAAGGGGGGTACTAAAAGTGGGGGTACAAGACCCACACATGAGTGGCGAAACAAAAGGCCCCGGAGCAGAGGACACGACAGTCCATTTGAACAATAAATCAGACTGAAGGGAAGACGGTGGACAAAATTATGGCGGAGAAAGGGGGCAGAGATAATGAGGGAGAGCAAAACCAAACCTGTTGAATGTGATCAGTGGTGACGTTGCTGGGGTAGTAAGCTGCCATCATGGGCTGCATCTGCATCAGGTGCTGCTGCATTTCTCACGCTCTCTCACACACACACAGCGTCTACAACTCTAGGTGACTATTGAGTCGAAAAAGAGCTGAAGGGCGAGCAGAGAGCAGAGACTGAGGAGGTTTGTGTGGGAAGAGGGGGTGCAACCGCAAAGAGAAGCAAAAGCCCTCTGGTTCTGTCCCCGGCTCTGTTCCAACCTTTTCACTCCTTGGTCCGCAGAGAGAGAGAGGGGGGGGTTATAGTAATGTTCGGAGGGGGTTATAGTAATGTTCGGATGGATATTGATTGGCTGCCTTGAGAGTTGGTCCTTTGTGTTGGTGTTGGTGTTGGTGTTGGTGCGGGAGACTCTCTCCTGAGTTCTCTAGAACTGCGTGTCAAGAGGAAGGAGGTCACGTGATGAATGAGAGAGAGAGAGGGATGGAGAGAATATAAATAATAATAATAACGAAATAATGATGATGATAATAATAGTTTTACCAGAAATAAAATGATAGTAATAGCAATGGTGAAGGGAGGAGAGTGGGAGAGGTGAAGTTGGACGGATTCGGCTCATCAGGGAAGACTTCTCTGCCTCTCTTTAGAGATAGAAAAAAATCTAAGTCATTTAAATTAATTTAAATTTATCCTTATCATTTTTATTTTTATTTTTATTTTTATTTTTAAATTAAAAATGTATAAAAAATGTTAATAAATATGATAATCAATTTAAAAATTCACATTTAATATAAATGCTTTAAATTTTATATAAAAAATTTAAATTAATTTTATAAATATATTTTGAATAGTATAAATATATTTTGAACAAAACGGCAAATTTATTAAAATAATTTATATTAAATTTGAATAGTCAGATTAATAAATATATTTATTAAAAAAATTAGAATTTTTATACATTTTTAATTTAAAAAATAAATAAATAATAAAAATATAATTAATAAATCTGGACCGTCCAGATGGTCCAGATTTTTCTCTGCCTCAGGAGAGGCAGAGAGAAGCCGACTCCAAGTTGGACAGGCTTGGTCTGGCTCAATAAATGGGGATGACGTCCGTCTGGTGTAAGAGATTCCGCGTGTCCTTTCTCCACGCGCTCTCCTCTGCACACGCTCCCCACATCCCTAGTAATCCCCGCTACTTGACGTTGATGTCTGCGCCCCCACTCTCCCCCACCCCCCCTCTCAAAAAACAAAAAAACAAAAAAAGGTCGATGTTTGTGCAAAATCATTGTCTGTCTTTCCATTTCAAATTTACCCCTCATCCACCTCCTCCTTTCCCACCACTCCTCTCTTTCCCTCCTTTTTTTAAATTTAATTTTTACTATTTTGTATATTTATTTATAAATAATTTTTAATATTTTTATTATAATCAAAGAAAATTTTAAATCTTGATAATTTTATTTAAAAATTAATTAAATTTTTAATTTTATCTTTATTAAATATATTTATTTTAAAAATAAAATATTTTATCATTTAATAGACTTCACAATATTTAGTGAAAACAAAATGATAAAAATAAATATAATAATTATTAAAATATTTTATAAAAAATTAAAATAAATATTCTCTTTATTTTATAAATAGGATAAAAGAAGTATTATTATTTTTTCAAAATGTACAATTACTCCCTCCAAATGATTATTTTTTCAATCATATCTCAAATTTATTTATTTATTTATTTATTATTATTATTATTAAAATAATGTATTGAAATTTTAATTTTCATTATTAAAAATACTTATATAAGGTATAATTGGGAATGTGCAATTTAAAAAAATAAAATTTTAATTAATATTTTTAAAAAATTATGAATTAATTATCAATGCTATATCGTAATATAAAGCAAATACAAATTATAAAATGCTATTATAACAATTTAATTTTCCATGTTATAACGTAATATCGTTATACAAATTTTCATTGTGTGTAATATACTATAAGTATATTAGATTAAATTATTTATATTTTGGAAAATAAGTAAATAACATCATTTCATGTAGCCATTTTTTTTAGATCAATTCTTTCTTTTTTTGGTTGCCAAGTCTAAGTCTTTTAACTCCTTTTAATGTTAAGATAAAATGTCTACATGTGTTTGATTCGTGATAATATATATACATATATATAAACATAGGTTTAGGATTTTGTTTTAGAGTAGAGAAAAATAATTTCATTTATATTAAATACAACTTTATAGAGATGTATAAAAAGCTTATTTTAAATTTCATGAACTCAAATTTTGATATTTTATTATAAAATGATATTGTTATATTTTATATCATGGCCTCTTCATGCTAATATGGATCTGTCATTGGAAATAATATTCATCGAATATTATGAATCAAATCTCGAACAACAGCAAACTATAATTAATTTAGAAAATTGTCAGTAGATCCACACTAGAGAATTTTATATTATTTCGATAGTGAAATAAGATACGAAGAGGATCATGTTGAAAGAAAAATATAGTGCTAACTCGTTCATTATTTCTCTCTCTAAAAGAAAAAGGTTATACTCCTTTCATTTTAAAATGTAAGGTATTTTTTGAGAAGTAAGATATTTAAAAATATAAAGTATTTTTAGTCCTTTGAAATGTAATCATTATCTTTTTAAAAAATATCTTTATTAATAATAATTTTATATTTATTATAAGGTATTTAATAGAGATAAATATAAAAATATGATTAATTTAAAAATAAATAACAATTTTATTAAAAAATAAAATTTAATTAAAAATCTTGTTTATCAGCGCTTTATGATAAGTTATTTTTCCATGTATGAGACCCAGGGGGCGCATGGGTTAATGATATGAGTAGCAATTTATATCTCGAGTGGAATGGTACAGAGTACAGACGGCGATGATGTGCTGCTGAATGTCTGACGATTTTTATAATATAAAATGAGAATTAATCGTTCTTTTAAAAATATAAAATATTTTTAATTAAATTTATTCTTTTAATAAAATAATTATTTATTTTTAAATTAATTTTAAATTTTTATCTTTATTTCTATTAAACATACTATAACAAATATATAATTATTACCAATTGGGACACTTTTAAAAAAATTATAATAATTGTACATCAAAAAATCTAACTTTTAAATGTCTTATATTTTTAAATATCTAACTTTTTAAAAAATACCTCACATTTTTAAACAAAGAGAGTATATAATTTTTATTATGTTATTATTTAATGTCTAAGTTTTAACATATTGCAATTTACTTTTTATAATTTTGACTTGGTTATAATATATTCTCTTACATCTGACTCAATATAAACTTGTCCCTATAAATTTAATAATTTAAAATATCTGTTCCTATAATTTTTAAAAAAATTTAATCTTTATTTTAATTACAATGTTTAAAAGTTTCATAATTTGAAATATTAATCCTCAAATTCCCAAATAATTTAAGTATTTATAATTTTATTTTATAAAATATAGGAACTAGTATTTTAAATTGTTAAAATCATAAGGATTGAGTTGTATTATGTTAAAGTTCAAAAATTGAATTATAATTCAGTTAAAATTATAAAAACCAAGTTATAATGAATTAAAATTTTTGAACTAAATTAGAACTAAATCAAAATTATTAAATCTAGATGATTAATTTTTTCTAATATAAAATCATATGGAAGGCACCTAAGCACTCTCGGCTCTTCTTATAGTTTAATAAATACGTTCCAGAACAATTGATGTTTTTTTATAAATCACTTCATACTTGATTCTAGTAATTTTATTTTTTCACAATTTTCTATTAATATCATATAATGTTACATATAATAATGGAAAAATAATTTGGGAAAAATTCCTCAAAAAATACCTCACCACAAATTTATTTACTAAGAAAGAATTGGGACAAATTCTGAAAATGGGTCCTTCAATAGCATTAATTGCTGAGGGCTAAACAGTATAAATGCCTTTGTTGTAAGGGGGAAAAAAAAAGTAAAAGTGAACCAAAGTTTTTTGTTATCAGTATTTCACATGAGATCCTTTACTTTTAATATGTCACAAGATCCTTCATTGTCAATATTGTTAGGTGTGATTTGCTGGAGTCTAGACAATGGCTAGCAGTGGCAAGACGACTCGACACAGGAGAAACCCCATACACCTTGGATATGCCCTTTTTGCTCTTCAATTTCCAAACAAATCTGAAGTGGAAGAGGAAGGAGAGGAAGAAGGTGGGGATGGAGAAAAATAATTAGGTTCGAAGGAGGAGATGAAGGACGAAGGAGCATGGAGAGGAAGAGGACTGTCAGAATCTCGATGGGCGCAGGCCACAGAGAGGAGAGGATGTGATCAAGATATTATGGTCACTTGACACTTTGAATTAATGCCAATAAAGGACCTCAATTTGGAATATCTTTCAAATCCTTCTCAACAAACTTAAATTTAGTCAAGTTTTTATTAGTAACTTTTTCAAATATTTTTTAAGATGATATACTTGATAAGGATGGGGAGAAATTTTCTCCTTTTTAAATAACATTAATAATTTAACCTTATCTCTTTAATTTTGGTAAATAATTAGAAATGACTTGGATAAAAATAAATAAATAATATGCATTTAATTTAAATATATTGTATTGATTTTTCTTTTATTTTCTATGCTCGGATATTTAGCTGGGCTCACATTATTATGTAAATCAAGTGGGTGAGTTGAAGATTGGATTGATGGAATATATATTGAAGTGCTAGAAATGAAAGAATCAAGGCATGCCTACTACTCAGTACCCTGTCTCTCAATGCTCAAAAAATCGTACAATGTTATGTTACTCCTTTATCGGTTCTACTCTACTATTCAACCAACTGCATCCATAGTTTACTAATCTCTATTTTTTTTTTTTTTTAAATCACACTAACGGGATCCTTTTATAGCACACTTCACTAAGAAAGTCAAGGAGCTTTTAAGGTAAATCAACCCAATCAATGCGAAATTAAAAGGGAAAACGCATGTAAGCACTACTGAAACATGTTATTTGCTATTAATAATTTAATAAGTTTGATTTCTTACATGATCGCATGCTTACACTAACAATTTAGACCACTTGAACTGTAATTGAAATATTTTTTTTCTTATTGTTGGGAATTATTATGAATTTATTATGATTATAAGTATTTTTATTATCTTAATTGAGTTTATTAGGTTAAGATTGATTATTGCCTCTTATAGAGGAAAAAAAATTGAGTACTATACTAATAGAATCAGTGTCTCTATCTTATAGACCAAGTCTGATCCTATTAATCTTTAGGTTATTGATGAACCAAACTAAACTATAGGTTGTCTGACCTAATTTTTTTTATGAAAGAGACTAAACCTCATATTAAGTCAAAGTCCAGTCTCATCCAATCTTTTGTACAACCGTACCTAGAACAAACAAACACGAACGCAACATGGCTACTCTATGTGAGTCAAATCTAATCCGTCTCCCTTTTCGTCAAAACCCATCACAAGAAATCAAAACCAAATCAAGAAAGCAATTGAAAGCCAAATCAAAATAAAAAAAATGTAAGAAACCATAACAATATATAGCATAAATTATTCAATGACATTGTCATTTTGAGGGAACCCAGCTCATGCTTGTCCAGCATCTTGTCCCTCCGTGTTGTCCACTGTTCTTTAAACCAAGAGATGGCAATGTAGTTATTTGATGAAAACCCAAATCCATATGAGAGAGAGGTGACCTAGATTCGTGAAGCCGTTTGGCGTAGCCTTGCCATTGCTAGATCTTTTGACAGCGAGGAATCTAAACTAAAGCTTTGCATTTCAAATCTATTGTGGGCGACACACCTCACCAAATTAAGATAAAAAAAGCAAGATGAGACAAGTGAGGGCATACTAAATTTGGTTGGGGTTTGACTTGAAAGAGCCATCGTGTGTAGAAATTGGACAAGTAAAGGGGTGATGAAGCTAAAGTTGAAGAGGAAGAGAGAAGATGAGGAACTTAGAGATTCATCGATGTCTTGATAAAGCGGAAAGCAAACAATGAACACTTAGATTTTTTTTTCTTAAATTTTAAAATAACCACGTGGGTAGCTTCAAAAAAAAAAAAAGACATGTAGCTGCCAACATAGCATTTGATGGTCAAACTAATGGTCAATATCCGAATCCGTTAATGTAGGGAAAATATATACAATTTTAAAAAAACATAAGGGCAAAATTATGCATTTAAATACTTTTTGATATCAATTGCATTTTCAAAAAAACTTTAAGAGCATGTTTGTTTTTTAACCCATGATTTTATATATTTTTGTTATTGTTGCCCTTGTAGCCCCCTCCTGAAGATCATTTGTAGTTATTGTATTATGTACATTTGACTTTAATTTGTAATTGTATTATTTCACTTTAAATTGTAGTTGTTGTATTTCAGTGATTGAATTTATATATTTGTATTGTTTTAATTCTGAACTTAACAAGTTATGCATTTTAATAAATGTTATTATTTAAATCTCTTTTTCATGTTTTGCATGTTTTACTGTTTCAATTTCAAAAGAGACGAAATGACTCGAGAATCCAATTAATTTTTTAGAATGGGACACAAAATAGAGTTATTTCAATTCCATCTCATTTAGTGAACACCCCTAATTAGAGGGGATATAAATGTCCATAATCAATACATTATTAGTTATTAGTTATTAATATATTAATAGGTTAATATATAATAAAAATTCATAACTTATAGTAAATCACAACATTATTTACAGATTATAAATGATATTCTTCATTTATCAAACTCCATATAATATAAATAATATGGGGGAAGTCATTAAAGGATGGAGATGTTGAATTAAACTCAAATGAGAACTAAAGGATTTGAAAATTCTTGTATTTATATTTGAGATTATATTTTTAAACGTTCTTATTATCAATGTTTGAACTTTTTTCCCAACGTCAAGAGAGAACTTTGCTCCTATCCTATTAATAATCCTTTATTGCCACCCGAAAATAAATATAATTGAAAAATTTTATTAAATGCACCTGAAAAATAGGTAGAATTTTCTTACTCCATTTGTTAATCCCATTTGTTATCATTTTCTGGGAAGCGCGAGGAGAAAACAACTCAAAACGCTGACCTGGATCGATACAAGCTGATGAACGACATAATCATATTTATTTAATTTAATATATTTAAACAGGAAAAAAGAGAGAGGGAAATGCCGACACTGTGATTGGGTTCAAGATTCCGTGTGTGTACGACGCATCATTGATGAGGAAGAAGAGTAATAAGCCCATAATAATGCGCGCTGACTTGCGTAACAAGGGGCGGGGCGCAGATGAATGACGGTGAAGGGGGACGGGGGAGCTTTGGCTCAGGGAAGGAAAGACAGCTGTACTGTACTGAATCCACGGCGGAAGATTGGTTGAGAGTGGGGGGAGAGAGAGCGGTGGGACCCAGAGGTTCACGTGCCTGAGAGAGAGAGGGGGGGGATGACACTGCATATCCAACTGGCACTGCGGGGTCAAACTTAGGCAGCCCCACTGGTCTAACAGGGAAGAGAGTGGAGTCAAATCGTGAAGAAAGTAAAAGGTAGGTGGTGCTCCCAGGTGCAGCAACATGATGGGTGGTTAGGGTGTCACAGTTGGTTGCCCTGATTCACGCGCGTCAACCCTGTCGCTTCTTGCTTGTTTCTTTCAAGTCTTGACACCCACAGCAACTACAAGCTTGTTCTGCAAAGAGTGGGTTCTGGTTTTTGGAAGGGAAATGAAATGATGTGCAGAGCAAGTTGGGATTTCCATCAAGGTCGACTTCAAAATCACAGCTCACACTCGTTTCCCTTGCTCCTCTCCTCTCCTCTCCTCTCAAATCACTAACATTTATCTATCCGGGCGCTCCATCGTGCGGTAACCAAGCCTACAAATCCACGGCCCGCAAAATATTCTTCTGCGTGGATACTTGAGCTACTTTTGTCCCGTAAAAGATATTTTGTTCCAAGACATCCCCCACCTGTCTTGCAGTGAGATTGACCACGTGTAGGGTAACTAACAGATGAAGTTAACACATGCTCGCATTGGCCGCTCTACTCTTGCTGCGTGGGAATAAAATAATGCTCCTGCAGTAAATTTAAAATTCTAGGGCATAACAAGCGTGCGTATTTTTCCTAATAAAAGACATCATGAGCACGTCATACCATTCAAATAATTCAGCGGGTTTAGTAAACTCGAATCACTACCTATTTTTATGACACTCAACATAAACAGGAAAATAACCAGTTCATGTTCATCAGATTCTGGATCAATTTTTCTTTTCAATAATCCACGGGTGTAATCCTAATAAATTACAACAACGGGGTGACATCACCCTAGGCTCCAATGCCTCGGTCATAATTCCTAAATAAATCCTTAATCATGCCCACCATCTATCTACAAATTCATTATCTCAATCCACCCTCGGTCATCTCTTCGGGCCTAACAAAAATCTCTCATCACAAAAATTTACTTGTGTTGTTAATCAATCTCTCGTAGTTGTACAAAACTGTCAGCAGGCCATGGGGATGCAACTAACCGCTGCTTAAATAGGATTCCCAACCATCCTTTTCTAATTTCGCAGCTTTCCTCAAGACAGTTTCTTTCTGGTCCTCTTGATATTGACTCATCCTGCACAGAATGGTAGATGTTGCATCAGCTGGAATGACGATTCAAAATATTTCCTGAAATTTCTAGATATCAAGAGAGGCGAGAGAGCAACCTTGACAAAAGACTATTATCAGCTACACCCAGCATCCTAACGGCCAGTAACCCAGCATTAGTTGCATTATTTATTGCAACTGTGGCAACGGGGACACCTCGTGGCATCTGCATACCCAATAAATATCATATAGGTTAGCCAGATGCTTACAAACACAGGTCAGCATGGAACAACAAATCATGGTACACCCAATAAGGCTAGAGAATTTTTTTTAGGCATGAAACCCTTCTCTCTCTCTCTCTCTCTCTCTCTCTCTCTTCATTTCCCCCCTTTCCTCTTGATGTATGGGGAGGAAGGGAGGAGTAACAGAAACTACCTGACAACTCTAGATCCAAAATGTCAAACCCATAACTCTTAACAAGTGTCAAACAAGAAAAATAACTCACATAAGATAGCTGTACAAGTATTCATTAACTCACTGAAATACTTGAGAGCCATTCTAACATTCGCAGGATCAGTGACATTAGAAAGATTTATTTACTGAATCAGACGTGTTGCAAAAGCCTTGATGCAGGTTGCAACACAAATTGGTGTAGAGCGATAATAAGAGACAGGTGTGTCACGCAATAAGAGATGTGGTATATAGTAATCCTTAACAATCATGTCAATAAATTAAAATAATAATATACCTGAACAATTGACAAGAGTGAATCAAGCCCATCAAGGGAAGAAGCACGGACAGGAACACCAATAACAGGCAAGGGACTAAGAGCAGCTACCATTCCTGAGATACAAGATCTTGATTAATGCTAGTAAGACGGTTAATCCTTAAGAAATACTCCCTTCATCCCAAATTATAAAATACTTTTAGGAAAAATTCAACGTTTCAAAATATAAGATACTTTGATAAAAATAAGGTTTCATTAATTATACTTTTCTAATATTACCCTTTCTATATGTTCTCTCTCTTCATTATTCTTTTATCAATAGAGTATTAAATGAAGGGCATTTTTGAAAGTTTATATTTTTGTCTTAAAAAAGTAAAGTTATAAAGTGTATTTAATGAGTTTTATTGGTATGTGAGATTTTGTTTAAAATTATCTTATAATTTGAGACGAAGGGAGTATAACTTTACCTGGCAAGTGAGCTGCACCACCGGCACCAGCAATAATAACCTGTATGCCTCTCTCGTGTGCAGAGGAGGCATATGAGAACATCATTTCAGGGGTTCGATGTGCCGAAACAATTTTTACCTGTGAACTAATGCAAACGGCTAAAGGAACAAAACAATGTCGTACAGGAACTACGAAACAAAAAAAAAAAAAAAGATAAATAAATATTAATTAATTAAACCACACTTGGTCTGACCTCATGAGGCACGCCATAGGTTTCCAGTATTTCAGCAGCACTTTTCATGACAGGCAGATCTGAATCAGAGCCCATTATGATCCCAACACGTGGAGCAACTATGTCCAACAAGTAATGCAAAACGGTAGACATAAGTGCAAGAAACATGCTTTCTGATCTTTGCTAAAGAGTTGAAAGCAAAATAGAGAATGATTAAAAGCAATTTAAGAATCAGCAGTGGGAGTTATTCTCCCTCTCAATTAATGTTTTCAGAACATAGTAAGTTCTGTTTTGGCAGAATCATAAAAACTGCTGCATACATTCAAATAATAAGAAATTCCTAAAGAAAAATTTAAGATAGTGAAACACATGGTTGCAAAATTTTCCCGGTTGACTCAAAAGAAGCTGTTTTATAAGGAAAAATAAAATTTCAAAGGTTTGAGTAGAAAACTAAATTCTATTTGAACAAGACGACAGGGGGATGGAATGTCAAGTAACAAGTCAATTACTAATTTTCAACGAACAACATTTGAATTGGGTGGTGCAGGGGCCAGACAATGTGAACTTGAAATGACAAGAGAAAAGGATACTAAGTATATTATATAAATATGAAGTACTTATTCTACGATCTATTAAATTAATGCAGATGACTTGAAATGACAAGAGAAAAGGATGCTAAGTACATGCATGAGATGGAGGAAAAGAGATATTTGAGCCACTAACCCGAAGTTTTGTCATCTAATCTCTTTCCTTCAACCATCTTGGCAAGATTTCTTTCAATATTGCTGAGGGAAGGCCCCACAATGGTTATATGTCCCATCTTCCTTTGCCTTCTCATTTCTAACATTGTCATTGTAACAATGCTTATTTGCAAGGTATAAATATGCATATACAAAGTACGAGTGATCCAAGTTCAGCAATGAAAGAAGTAACCAAGGTACCAACATATCATAAAATACATAAGCAGAAGTTCACCTGGCTTATCATACCAATGAACAGTAGCTCCAGGAATGGTCAGTGCTCTTTCAATCAATTGATGAGCTAAACGGAAACCAGGCTCCCCCTAATGATCAATCATTAAGCAAATTTCATCCACAATGTTGATAAACGATGACAACAAAAAATAAAGGAAATTTTAAAAAAATATATATCTAAGAGCTAAAGCAAGCGCTCAATAACACTTTAAGAGTATTCAGTATTTTAAATGTGAAGCGACATTTAAAATCTCAGCCATGATTGGATCCAAGATGACAAAGAAACTGTTACATCTAACTTGAACTCCGATGCTTTCTCTCCACCAATCAATTTTAGACTGACTCAACTTTAACGAAAAGAATTTTTTTTAGCCATAACAACCAAGTAGATTTAATTGCATTACTCTAGCAAACAGAGGCAGGAGAAACAAATCTCTCCTTCTAACTTCCAGTTAATACCCACCAAAAGGAGGGACATATAAGATATACCTCTTCTTCACCTAGAATATTATACATAACAGCCGCTGGAGTTTTCATTGAAGTATCACCAAGAGGAAGACCAACAATAGCCCGTAAATGCTGCTCAAATTGTGAGGTGTAGCAAGACTCGATTGTGTGATGCCCACTATTGTGAGGTCTAGGCGCTACTTCATTTAATAAAATCTGCCAACCACAGATTCAGTAACAGTATCAAGAGATGGGGAAAACAATCGTGATGCATGTGACATTATAAAATCTACTAATTAAGAGGAAGACATAAGTTCAGTAAAAGGGAAAAAAAAAAAATTAAGGCATGTCTAAAGTTGAAGAAGCGAAATCCCAACCAGTCCATCACTTGTCAAGAACAATTCAACTGCAAATACACCAGCACCTTCCAGAGAGTTAACAGCCTTGCGAGCAACTTCAGTTGCACATTCCGTAATCTGCCACTTCACATTAGCAGGAGCCTTAACTACGTGACATATGTTGTCCCTACAACAAACCACAAATACTTTAACAAAAAATAAGAGTGGTGACTGCTGCATATATCAGTGCATTATGCTAAAAGAAGAATTTGAATTTTATTTCCATGACAGAATTTTCAATTAATATCTTCCGTAGACCATAGTTGTGCTTATATCACATGTTACCTGTGAATGGTTTCAACAACTGGGTAGCATGAAATAGAATTGTCTCTTCCTCTAGCCACAATGACAGCTAACTCCTGCCAATTTTTTGAAGCAAAAACATAAGAACAATTAACTGGCAAAATCTAGAACTAAATCCATCACCAACTATCAATGCATAGTTTAGATGTTCACCTTGACAAAAGGTGCCCATTTCTCGACATATAAACCACGAACAAAACCACCAAGAGCTGCAAAGTAGGGAGAAAATAATTAAACAAGTGAAAAGCAATGTCTACTAAAAATGAGGTAGAATTTTTGTCTACAATTGACTAAAGCATGAACTTAGAGATAATTTTTCTTTTACTCTCTTTCTCCTCGGAGAAAGTAAAGGACAATAAAATTCACCTATCAACAAAAGAATACACCTGCTAAAAAATAATTACCATTTATAGCAGAAGGTAGCTCCTCTTCACTTTTAGCAACAGCATTTCCCCGCCCATCATAAGCTAATTTCCTACTCTTAATCATAAGAGGATAGCCAAAGATCTCTCCTGCTTTCTTAGCACCTTCAAGATCCTCTATCTATTTAATACATCATTGACATGTTCTCCAGCATTATTCTAAATATTCATTAAGTTCAATTACAGCCAATTATACCATGGAGCTTATAAACAGTACCAACCTGCGTAAACTCAGGAAGCGGAATGTCATGCTTGGAAAAATGCACCTTTTGCATATATTTATCCTGTAACATGTTGAAAAAGTCATATCAGGAACACCACAGACAAATTGCCAGCTTATTAAAGTTACAAGATATGCAAATCAAAAGGTCCATAGGTGTTGTTGGGACCCAGAACAAAAACAAGATAGAAACACTCAACCTATCCTTAACTCCTCTTAGAAGAATTAGAAGATTTTGTTATCAATAAATCTGCACAAACACGCCAGATAATACCTGAATAATTCGCACAGTAGAGGCTTTGGGTTGACAGTCAACTCCATGCTGTTCAAGCTTCTCCAACGTAGCAACATCGACATGTTCAATTTCAACGGTCAATACTCCACATCTAGATATCCATGTCACATCAGAGTACACAAATTATTTCCACGAAATGACTTAAAAAACAAATTAAAGATGTCTCTATTGCATACAAAATCTAACCTCTTCGCAAATTCCTCAACTGTAACACTATCATCAAAGCTTCCAACCATATGATCAAGAGAAAGTGAACTTGCTGGGCAGTTCTCCTGTGGATCTAAAACCATGACTTTAATGGCCATCTTAGAGGCAGCCTGGCACAGCATTCGACCAAGCTGACCTCCTCCCAGAACCCCGACAATCATTTCAGAGAGTCCATGGACAGGGAATTCATCGATCCTACATATACAACATCATGATAGTAATTCGTGAGATTCTTTTCCATAGATATTTCAGTTTCGGAAAGTTCATTCTGGAAAATGGTGTTCATTGCCATGGGCATGAGGCAACACCAGGCCATCAGAATCACAAAATGAAACTAATTGAAAATAGCGAATGACTTGCAAACCTGATAGAAAGATTATCCTGTGATGCTTGTGGAGGACGATTCATGAAGAGTGGCGGGTAATGCTTCTTTATCTTAAAAGAATAGAAAGAAGGAGGACGATCCCCCAGTGAGAACGATGAAGCCTTGAGGGACCAAAAGGACGGAGCGAAGATGGTGTTGTGAGGTGACAACACCGAGCGCGTAGTGTGAAGCATGCCCAAACTTCACTCTCGCCGCTTTCCCAAGTCTGCACACGTCGTCGAGTTCCGACCACTCAAACTGAGCTTATAACCCTCCAAAAGCGGTGCGAATTTGTTTTCGAGTAAACTATACGCAATTCTCCTTCATGTATTTATACTAACTGTTTACTCTTAAGGAAGATATACTTCAAATTACAGCTAATTATTTCAGCGTCTATGACACACCAAATTCAAGAGAATTCGATTTCAAAAATTAAAAAAAAAATCTTAATTATATCTTATATGATGATTTTTAATTATTCACTTCGTTTAAAATAAATATTCAATTCTTAATTTGCAACTAATTATTTTTTTCATTCCACTCTCAGTCAAGAGTTTTTGGGCCTGTTTACATAAAATAATAAATAAATAAATTTGAAATAGTTTAGAGATTTTATAAAAAATTATTTTATTAAATTTTTATAAAAAATAAATATCATTTTATATTTGATTACAATAAAAAAATAATTATTATTTAGTTTTAGATTTTATGATATCTTCATAAATATCTGTTTATAAAAATAATATACTCCCTCCGTTAAACAATGTAAAACATTTTTAATCAAATTTTATCCCTCAATAAAATAGTTACTTACTTTTAAACTAACAATATCTTTTTATATTTATCCTTATTAAACACCCTATAATAAATATAAAGTCACTAGTAATAGGGATACTTTAAAAAAAAAGACAATGATTACACCTTAAAATATTAAAAATATTTTATATTTTTTAACATCCAACTCCTCAAAAAATATTTTATATTTTTTAACAAAGGAGTATTATTTAGTAATTTTATAGTTTTATAATTTTTTCATATATTTTTGCATTTTCAGGACATTTTTCCTCGATGACTATTCAAAATATTTTTGTAATCCTATTTATAAGTTAACAGGAAAAATTTTAAATTTTTATTAGCTCTGTCTAAAAATTAAATAAGTTCTTAATTTTGTTCCCACTATATATATATATATATATATATATATAATATATTTTTATTTTTTCAACATTTAATGAAAAATAAGAGGAGAAATTTATTATGAAAATTTAAACATTTAAGTTATAAAAAAATAAAAAAAATTCTTCTCTTTCTACTATTTAAATAAGACAAGAGGAAAAAGCTTCTTAAACTAATCAATTTTTAAATTTTTGATTATTTTTATTTTTAAACAAACATCATGAAATTTCAGAAAATAAGTTGCTTCTAAGTTTGTTGAAAAATAGATAATTAATTCAGAATATATTTACTTATATTAAGCATTAACTAATCAACTTCCAAGAGTTTCAAAAATCTCAAAGATAATGAAAGTCTAATTCTAGATTAAACATTGTTTAAAATTTTGTATGGTGATTTTTAATTAATAATTTCATTTAAAACAAATGCTCAACCTTTGATAGTCCGCAAGACTGCAACTGATTACTTTTAAATTTTCCGCAAAACAAAAAAAATTCCGATTGATTTGCCTTGTAAAAATTTTACCCATGGTTTTGAATGTGAATTTTCATTGACTTCTTTGGTCAGGAACACTGTTGAATGCGAATTATCTTCATTTTTCTTTGTTGTAATTATTAAATTTACAGCAACAACCGGTCTACTGTGCAGGCGGGCATCTGGCTACTTTAAAGTACATAATATTTGCAATAAAAAAATAATATTATATATATTAAAAAGAAAAAATTGCTTTCTTGAAAAAAGAAAAATGTGGGCAGCACATATATTGCAGGGTTTTTTTTTAAAAAAAAAAAAGCAAAGCAAAGATTATAATTAAATTAAAATTTAAAATTAGCACTATAAATTAAGATTTCATAAAAACCCAACAAAAGATGTAAATTTGCTAATGGGAAAATTAAGCTTTAGGTCCTTATAGTTTTAGTGGATTTTTGATTTCAATCCCTATACTTTCATTCTTTTTAAGCGATTCTATATTTTGTTTCGTTATATCCGTTGATCCTTGCAACTTGAGAAAGTGAAGAAGGGCCCTTGATGCCATTAATTAATAACTAAAAATGTAGTTAGTAGAACTATTATTAACTAGAATGTATAAATATATGTGAATATGAACATGTCAATGTATATATGATTTGTTGTTGAAAACTTACTTATATATATGATTCTGCATCTCACCTAGGGTGCCATAGCAATGGGTGCATAGGTAGGTCTAGATGCCAATCAAATAAGTATATGTTATTATGTAGCTTATTTCATTTGTATTGAATATGATTTTGTTATGTAAAATTATGTGTATATGTAAGAACTTTACCCAAATGGTGAGGCTTGGCCTCATTTGTAGGAGTAAAGTATATTTATAATTTTCAGCCATATGGTAAGGCTTAGCCCCATATGAGGAAGTCGGATGATTGAAGTGGAACAAGTATATATATGTTTGTAGTTATATGCATTATGCCTCATATAAGCCCAAGTGTATAATGCAGTGTTGAGAGGTCAAATTAAGTATTTAATATCATATATGTGATTTGATGAGTTAATCAAGTGTAAATAGTTCTTTTGGATTTGGTTTAAGGCCCAAAGTGATCTAATAGGATAATAAATGAGAATTGAACACTTGTGGTGTAGGTTTTGAAAAAAAAAGTAACTTTGTACACCTTGAAGTTCAATTTTAAATCGAACCGATAGATCATATCCAAACTTTTCTCATTAAATAGTATATGTTGAAAGCTTCACGTGGATGTTTAAATCACTCCAATTGGGCATCGGGTGTGAAAATGGTGCCCGATGGAATTTCACTCCGCCAACTGTCACGTGACAGCAGAATTTGTTGTCACATAAGCCGAGCGCATTATATGTCACTCCATGATGCATGGCACAGAGAAAAATAGAGCATGTTATTTTGTACTATATGCCACGGCGTATGACATGTTTCTTAGAATGTGTCTCTTTAAGTCATGTTATCTATGTTTATGTTTCTGTTAGCCCTATTTTTTGAACATACTTTTTATGAAGTCGGGATCCCACATTTTAAAAATAAAATTAGAACTATTACTCTAATATTATATTGCAATTGTGTGTTTGGGATCGTAAAGTCTGAATTAGTCAAGGGACTTTGCAAAAACTTATTAGGTTTATGATAACAACTTGATAGGAATCAAGGAACAAGTTAAAATCTAACATTTAGTACCCTTAATCTATTACAGGGCATTAGAGGACTAATGGCTAGATCCAAAGCTACGATGATGAAAGAAGCCATAAGTTCATTAATTAAAGATGCTCTAAACAATCAAGAAGTCCTGAAGGCCGATGGAGTTTTAAAAGATCAAATAAAGACTCTCGACATATTAGGCCAAACCTAAGATACTCGAGCCCATGAACAAATTTGAGGAAGACAGAGTTGCATCTGTGGGGCAATGGACTTTCTCAAGTATTAGAAAAAATTAATGATAATGCCTACAAAATAGACTTTTCTAGCTCTTATAAAAATGTGTCAGCTACATTCGACATTACAGACCTTTCTTTATTTGATACATGTGATTTGAGGATAAATTCCTTTCAAAAGGAAAGGAGCAGTAGAAATCAAGGGATGAGTTATAATCCAATATTTAATACATTTGATTCATTGCAGGGTATTGGAGAACTAATGACTAAATCTTAAGCCAAGAGGATGAAAGAAACTCTAAATTCATTAATTAGGGATGTTCTAAATGATTAAGGAGTCTTGAAGGCAAATAAAGTTTTAAAAGATCCAAGAAAGACTTTTAATATATTGGGCTTAACCCAAGATGTTTAAGTTTATGAGTTCAATTAATTTAGTTATTTTTTCCCCTTAAATTTAGAAAATTAGTTTATTTTGTTTTAAATTCAAATAAAAATAAAATATATCCATCAATATATGATCTATCCATTTGGAATCTCAGATTAATTATAATTCAATATTTAAGTTTTTAGAAGTCTATTTAAATGGTTAAGTCATTGATATTTCTATTTTTTAATATCTTTTTGAGTAAAATATCTTTGTTCAACTAATTACATGGTAAATTTCAATTAGATGAAATTTTATTTCAATATTACTAAAATTTTAAAAATCAAATTGGAATATTACAGGATAAATGCAGTGGAAAAATACAATCCAAGGTAGTCATGGAAGGACAAGCTCTACAACTTATACACCGCCTGGAGACTAGAGTGGCCACCTATCATAATGCCAACTGTTCTTGTAATCTCACGAAGCCTTATCTCCCGAGCATATTCAGTATAGCAGCAATTGCCCATTGACTCCCCTGCTTGTCTCTCCCTCCCACTCTCCCTCTCTCCCTCTCTCCCTCTCTCTATCTGAATGCAAGCAGCGCCAAAAGAATCAAAATATTATCTACAACAGGTGCACATTGGGTCCTTCTCTCTACTGTGTCATTCTCTCCTATCAGGAGCAGCTGGTTCTGACTCAGTCTTGGCGGCACGAGCCACTAGATTGCCAAACTTGTCTGATTTGCCCAGCAACTAGAGACACACAAATCATCCTCAGCAACTACACACACACACACACACAAATCATCCTCAGCAACTAGACACACAAGCTAGCTAACACTGTTAGTTGGGAACCCATCTTGGCCTTCTGCACGAGACGGCCTCGATTCTCATCCTACATCCCAACTGTAGATGCCAAAACTTCTGTTCCATCCCATATAATTGGTTATATCAGCTACAATCCCCATCCTGGGCTACACTACAAGCTACTAACACACAAATCATACATACTCTTCTCAGTGGCGAGTCCACTGTTCTTCAATATCTCAGCAGCCGTGACAACTGTTGTGATCGCTGCACAGAACAGAGACTTGTCAACTATTGACTCTACAAAGGCATCTGCAAATGCATTGGAAACTGCTACAACTACAAGTAAGTAGATGGAGCGGGCAAACAATTTGTTTGATTAATCGAGGATATTGTATTAGCTTGGACTACAACTTAGATGGACAAGATATAGTATTTCAATTTTTAGTATCCATTTTGGATTTAATTAACAAACATGATTGTTTAAATATGTGACGAGAGATATTTTCAACTTCCAGAGTATATCATGAAGAAAAACATCAAAACTAAATCTACTCTTATGACGCGT